TCAAAATAATCTTACAAGGTACAGGTTGCTCTACTGCTCAGAAATCTTCAGTACGTTGTGCTGTGTAATTATAATGACAAAGCATGGCCCTAGAGAAGAGATGAGAAAATGCACCTCCCTCCTATTATTGGAAAGATGGAGAAGCATAGGGGTTGTCAGACGCAACTGATGTGTCATTTGGTTTTGCTGAATTGTTTGGCAGTTTTTGTTTTTTAAATCTTCATTACATGGGAGAGTTCAATGGACAGGGCATAGGAAGGGGTATATTTGGAAATGAATGTGACATAAAAACAAAAGGCGTCAACAAATCTTTTTTTTTTAATTCAATGGTTCCCAAACGTACATAAGATACAATACAAACTCCTTAGCCTATCATTAAAGGTCCTCCACAATCTGATTTTGATTTGTTTCCACCTTGTTTTTTCACATTACTCTCATTTTTGAATTCCAAATTCCAGTCAAATTGAACTACCAGCTGCTTGCAGAACTAAACATGCCATCTCCTGCCCCCATGCATGGCTGAAAGACAGATTCTAAAGCCAGAAACGCACTTTCTCCTTATCTCACCTCTCAGATTCTTCACCTTGTTTCAAAGCTGTGCTCCGGTGCGGCCTCTTGCATGTACCCTTCTCTGATTCCATTTTCCCTCACTTCCACATTTGTTTGCCCTGCCAGCTGAAGACTAAACAAGAGGGAAATATGCTTATTGCCCCAAGGGGATTGAGGGGAGGTGTGGAGGTGTCGGGGGAAGCATTCCCTAGCTGTCAAGACTAGGAGTCAATGGAACCGAAACACAAGAAGCTGGGGACAGGCGTCTAGAGCAGAAGGAATGGAGCCCACCAGCACAGAGCAGATACCAGAGAAAGAATATGCAATTCTCATTGTCTAAGCATTGACAATCTTCCCCGCCTCCGAGGGGCTACTCAGTTATGGAAAAATACCTAGCTTCCTATGGAGGTATATTGGAAAATCCCAAAACTCAAACCTCTAGAATGGAAACATAAAATCATAGGTTGTAAAAGCCTGAAGAGGTAGTGGAAGATGTGAGAGATTAGGGGATGAGCAGGGATTTTAAACCCATCACAGTTGAGGCCGAGGAGATGAAAAGGGAGGGGTATAGATGCCTGGATCCTTCGCTCCAGACTGTTTTCCCTTAAAGTCCTCTAGAAAAAAATGGAAAGGGTAGAGCAGAATGGGGGGTGAGGGGGAGGAGAGAAATGGTGAGAAATGTTCAAGACTCTCTCCTTCCCAACTCTGGGTGGGTCTATTAAACCTCCCAAACAGCCGCAGAACCCATTTTCTCTCCCGCAGGGCGGTTTACCAACCCCCACCACCACCCCCGCTTTCCTCCCAAGCCCTCCTTCTCCAACTATCTTCCAGCACCCCCACCCCAGCCAATTCCCTACCCAAAAGCTGATTGGTGGAGCTTCTCTGCCCCTCCCTCTAGTCCCCAGTCTGAAACTGCGGGCTCTGAGTCCCGTTCTAGGGTTTACAGACAACCTCTCATTTCGCTGAGGAAGCAGTGGCGGAGGCGGAGGCAGCAGAGAAGAGGCTTGGCCCACAGGTAGGCGTTGGGTTTGGGCCCCAGGTCCAGCTCTGGTATAATTCTAGGGGGTAGGGGGCAGCCAGAGCCACGCCGCCTGGGCTTTCAATCCGGAGCCATTTCTCCCTGGGCAGCTCCCTCTGCCCGTTCCACCACCTGGGGAATTCCCAAGGTGAAGAAGACAGTCCTAGACGACCCCGGTAAGAAGGGTTCCGAAGAGGGGGTGGTGTGCAGCGCGAGGGGACCCAGAAAAATAGCTAGCACTGAATGCTGGCGATGTGGAGCGCTTCATTGGGTAGACAGGAGTCTGGGCTGCTGCAGAACAGGGGAGTTTGCTGCAGAGTGAGGGACAGAAGAAGGCTGCAGGACAGGAGAAGGTTAGGATTGCACTGGACTGGAGAAGGTTGGAGGCCCGAGAGAGAGAAGCATTCCGCTTTGCCTGGAGCCCCCTCCCTTCTACCAGCTAAAAGACAGAGCTACACCAACCGCGGGGAACCGGAGAAGAACTGGGGGGTTGGGGAGCTTGGGGCGTGGGCAAAGACAAGCCCCTGACCTTGTCTCACATTTAGCTCGCAAGCCCTCTCCCCAGCCCTTAACAGACACCTCACGCCTCACACCCCTATTGAAATGGAAGGTTGGATCGCGGATCCTAAGAGGCTTCCTCAAGATTTAACCTGGGAAATTGAGACTGGCAGATTTCAAGCTCTGCGGGTGGACGAACTGCGGGAATAGGGAGCACCCCTCGGTGCGGGAAGAAGCTGAGCCGCAATAACGGGGGAGGGGAGAGGGCAGGCAGGAGGGAGGGGCTGGAGGAGGGAATCCGGCAGAAGGGGGAGGGGTCTCGTACTGGAAGAGGAGGGGAGAAGAGGACCGAAGAGACTGGGAAGGGAGGGATGCAGAACTAGGGAGAGAAGGAGTATGCTAAGGATGTGGGTGAGAGCAAATGGGACTGCAGAGGACCTGCTTGAAAGCTGGGCTAGGAGAGAGAGAAAATTAATCCAACCTATGCAATCCATCTTCTACTCCTCTCCTCTCTTTCACCTCCCCTCTCTTCTTCCCTCCTCTGTTCCTTCTTCTCCCTTCCTATCNCCCATCTTCTACTCCTCTCTTTCACCTCCCCTCTCTTCTTCCCTCCTCTGTTCCTTCTTCTCCCTTCCTATC